AACATTCCGGCTGTAGAAAACTGTACCCCACCCCTCCCTACGCCTAGGAAAGTTGATCATTCTCCTAATGTATTTAGTTTGATTTGACAAAAAATGGTGAACACTGTTTTGTTATACTTTTCTCCATGTTCTGAATGAAGGTCTGCTTTGCTTTAATAGTCCTGAGTAGCGCACTCTTGTGTAATGGTTTTTAACCGTTTCTCTATTGACAGATTGTCTCCAGTTTTTTCCCTTTACCAATAAAGCTGCAGTCAAGCGTCCTCCCTTGTATGTAACACTTGCTCCCTAGATGATTTAATATGTGGTTGTTACTGGCCAGTAAGTGAAAGGAAATGGTTGGAGAAGGAGCATAGTTTAACTTGTTGACACATTGAGACCCACAGCAGACTCCTGTCTGGAAGACCCCCATACTGCTCTTTGGGAGAGTGCAGGGTATTTATCGTTACAAGTTGGTAGAAGGGGAGAGTAGGCAAGGTCAGCGCATTCAGCCTTGCCACACAGGGCCTGGAGGTTGTGGTGGAGGGAGACCAGCTGGCTCTCACCTGTGGCCAGCAATTCAGGTATTACCTTCCTAGTGATGCTCTTTTCCCTCAGCCTGTAAGACAACAAAAGTTTATTAAGCCTACAGGGTGAATAAAGAAGGGGAAAGGGGAGACCTTTTTCTAAGATTTTCTAAGAGATTGAATTTAGGCTGTTTCTATATTTGATGTGTGCACCTGAATGGTTTTGTTTAAGGGTAACAGCAGTATTTGTTGTAATAAAAGCTATATTCTTTTTGGAACAAAATTGAGAGTGATAACATCTATTAAATTATCTTGATACTCAATTCTTAAGCTTTATAACAATTTTTAAGATGGGGCTGATGTAAAGACTTAGTTTTAACCTTTTGGTTTTCTTAACCCAACAATTTAGTAATTCTGTGAAATTCTAACACAATTTAGTTACCAGCTTGTGAAAAGTCCTATGTGAGATTTAGAAAAACAAATGGTGTAATGTTACTGCATTCCTGTATAATGAAAAGCTATTATTTTCTGACAATGGATTGAAGTTTGTTTTAGCATTCTGATTAGGTAGGCAATTGTGCCTTCTCAAGTTTGAATTTCAAGTGAACTTGAAAAGAACATTTAAAATAGTGTACTGTGTGAAGGAAATCTTGTGATCAAGATACTACTTATGTTTCTGCTGAACTTTCTTTCACTTGCAGTGTGTTAGGAGGTATTGGGGGCATGAGGAATATCGATACTTTTCTCTAAAGGATTCAGCTCTCACACTTGGATCTTTCCCCTGTGGTCTTCCTTTATCCACCTTTACTTGCTGCAGTGAGCATGTTAATTCATCATGGTTATGTACTTAAGTATTTGTTGATTTTTCTGTTTATTAACATTATATAGAAACAAATGTAAAATGTGTGGTACTTAAGCTAGTTGGGAAAGATGAAGCAAACTTAGCAATTATTTGAAGTGGAGGACTGAAGTTTTGTGGGCTGTTAATTTGGACTTGAGCTGGACTTTGAAGAAGCAGTAGTTTTGGAGTGGATGAAAGAATAAAGCACACAGGCTGGAGTGAGTGTGTCACATGTGGGACACTGTTCATTTTGCACACATTTACTGAGCATCTGCTATGTTTCATGAGCATTCACATACCAAAACGTACTCAACCCCCTACCCTGTTCAAGTTCATAGATCAGTGGTTGGGAATACAGCTATAACAATATGGACATAATAATAATAATAATAATAATAATATTGTCATAAATTATTAGTTGCACTTGTAGTGCATGGTATTATTTTAGCAGGACATATTTTAGCAGGTATATGTTTTAGCAGGAAAAATGCAAAGTATTAAAGGAATTCAGGTATATTTTAAAACAATAGTTATCTGTTGTCACATAACAGATTATTCCTAAATTTTGCAGCTTCATACAGTGTTTATATTTCAATTTCTGTGGATCAGAAATCTGGGTGTTTCTGGCTCAGGGTCTCCAAGTAGGTAGCTTTCCAGTGTTGGCCCAGACTCTCACCTGGGCCGTGGCAGGTCTTCTTTCAGACTCCCTCCTGGCTCCAGGCAAGCCAGCTCCTTCCTCACTGGCTCCTGGCTGGAGACTCACTCTTCTTTGCCACCACAGCCTGCCTGTCCTAGGGGCTGCTCATGGCATGACAACTTGCTTCCCCCAGAAAGGGACCTGAGTGACCGTGAGTGTTAAACAGTCCCAGCCAGAAACCGCTGCCTTTCTACAACCTAATTTGGACTTGAAATCCCTCACTTTTGTATTCTGTTTGATAGCAGCTAGTCACTAAATGCAACCCACACTCAAGGAACAGAATAACCCAGAGCAGGAATGTTTGGGGGCCATCTTAGATGCTGCGTACCCTCCAAGTTCTGCCAAGTGATAGATACATATTGAGAGCCCCCAGGTCTTTGGCATAGAAGAAAAAGAACCAGTCAGGGACTTTTTTGATGGGAAAAGACAGGTGTAATTGACCTTAATTTACAAGCATTTTTGCTAAATTTAATTTTAGTGTTATCTTAATGTTTGCTGTAGGAATGATAGGTTGGAAATGATGAGTTACTTAATCCCATCCTCATTGAGCTTTGTATGGAACTGATCTCCTTTCTGGTAATTTGTTTTGTGCCTTTTCAAAGCATTGTATAAATGAGAAAAAAATGACTTGTGTGGCAGAAAAGTTGTTTCCAAGTTTAAGTAGTTAAATTGACAACATGCCTTTCTATGGGCTTTTAAAAAGATCACATTAGCTAATGTACTCTGAACAGTCTGTATATAAGTGGGCAATAGTGGAGGCTGGAAGAAATGACGCTACTGTGATAGCTCAGGTAGCATGACAGTGTTGCACTAAGGCAGAAACTGATGGAGAAATGACGTGTTCTGGGAACAGAACCTTAGTAACCCGCAGATGGACTGAAATGCCCGCAAGAGAAACCAATTCCCAAGTCACAGAGCAGCAGTCAATACATGACTTTACCAACATATTAAACACATGACATTACATAATCATAAAACACATGACATTACACATCATACCACATACTAGATGAGGCACATGGGGAGAAGGGGACACTGGTCTTTTGCCATTTTTCTACTCATGTGACTTTTCTCTACTCCCACTGTCCTTAAGTGAGTCCCTTCTGCGGTCAGACGAACAGAGTAAGAATAGCTACAGACTCAATAAGATTTAATGACTGTACTCTGGACTTTTCAGAGATAGCTGCTATAAACAAACCAGGATCCAAGGGAGAAATAAGTCCATTATTCTCACCCAGCTCTTCTCAGCTACCTAACCTCTCTGAGCCCTGTCTTCCTGCTGATAAATTGTCATAATGACAGTGTTTACTTCATCATTCCCCCAGAGGATAGATGAGATAATGCACATAAACCATTTAACACACTGCCTGGCAGCATATGGGACATACGAACATAGTGTTAGCTGTTATCATCACCACCATCATCTATAAACACACAGATCTGACCACTAGGTATAAATGACAGGATTCTAAAGACTGTATCAGAACATGCCATTGTTCTTAGTAAAAGTTGATCACCTGGTTCTTAAAAGACCTGGAGACAGATATCCTAACTGTAGTAAAATTACAGTACTTTCAGTAAAAATGCTATCTTACTATTTCCAAATAACTACTTTGGCTTCCCTGGTATGTGGGGACCGGTACGAAGACTTCAGGTGTGAAGTGAGCAAGGGTACAAGGATACTCCCCTGGGGAAAATGATTATGCAAAGCTTCATTACCACGTGGAATGCTCTAGATTCGAATCCTAACAGAAAACTGGGAAACAGTAAAACACATGATGTTAATATTACTGTACCTTTTCTGAAAGAAAATTAAATTTTTAGTAAGTTTCAACATACAGCATACTTCATGTTAAAACATTTTCTTTCCTATGTATGTATGTATGTATGTTACAACAGGAAACATGGGCTTAGGAAGTCAACAGGATTGCATATATCAGGGGTTATGAACTCATGATCTGCAGTCCAGATCTGGACTAAAGATATTCTTGTTGGACTGATGAGAAATATTGTTTCATGTGTTGACTTCCATCCAGTCAAACGCACAGACCTACGCATGCAACTTGACGACTTGTCCTAATGTGTATCCCTCTCGCATCTGCATGTAAAGGCCTTTCTCACATCCTCTGCCAGCAGCTCCCTCTTAATGATAACTTGTATAATCTTTCAAGTTAGCTTTTAAAAACATTTAAAAATTGGGAGAATTCATATAAAAAAGCCAGACTTCCAGTGTGTCTTATAAAATGGAAAGCTGTAGGACTTTCTTTCATTTTTTATCGCAGTTTATGGTAGCTGAGAAGTTGCTGCTCAGACACGTCAGTCTTCACTTCTCTGCTTCTGCCCTGACTTTGAAGTCCATTTCCAACTTCTACTTTCAATAGTAATTTGAATTGTTTACAATGATGGAGAAATACTTGTTTCTTTCTTCTGTTATCACTATAAAGAAGTAAGAAGCATGAGTGGCAGACTAAAAGGGTTGTGTGTTCCTTATATTTGCTCCATTGTAAACATTTCTGGCTTTACCTAAAGTATTTGTAAGTTATTTTGTATTACTTATAAGTGAATTTTTCATGTGAATTATTTGGGTTTTTTTATATTGTAAATAATGTGTAGATTCCTTATACAAATCATTAAAATAAAATTTTATGGATCAAAATAGATGGTCATTTTTAACAATTTTGACACATTGGTGGTAGCGTAAACTGATGTGGTCTTACTGGAAAGTAGAGTTTGTTTCCTCACATCTGTGCCAACACTGAGAATTGTAAGTAAAAAGAAAATTTTGTGAAGATAGAAAAAACAAAATATGGAAATGCTGACCAACAAGTTTTCATCTTGTAATCTATGATAAATGAGGATTGTACTTTATGTTGCAGGATATAATGTAGACATATTTACTGCTTAGTTCAGTGCTGTACCTTTGCCATCATGCTTTTAATTAGATGCTGTTGCATTTCAGGAGATGCCTACATAGAAGAGTGACAGTAGCTGGATTAAATGTTTCACTGCTGAGCTGGCTCCTCAGGTATCCTGGCTCTGACGATTGCTATGGGAGATTGGATAACTGTTACAGATCCAGGTCTGTCTTCAGGTAACTGAGTCCGAAATAATTGTTAATTACAACAGTCATCATAAAGTACATATTCAGTGAAACTGTAAAATAACTATAAACATTGAGATGTGGTAAGAGAAGCATAGTAGATGCAAATTTTCAATTTTTATCTTCAGTAAAATTATCAGGGTCATATGTGGTGTTAAAAATTTTAGATAAAGAATAGATTGCTTGATTTTTACTCTTATCTGAGGAAACTTTTATGCTTTTGAAATAAATTCATTGACTGTTTCTCTCAGTATATTCCTTTAATTGCATAAACTTTGATTGGCCTAGATGAGTGGTTTCTGTTGATATGTGGATCACAGTACTGTGTATTGAGGTAGAATATTATAGCCTGACATGCTACTACAAGCACCATTGCATAGCTGTGTCTTTTTGGAAAAAATCAGGTAGTTTTCATACAAAACCCTGCTTTGTCCTAATTTGAAAATACTGAAAAGTATGTATATGATTCAGAATTTTTGGTGATTGAAGATTGTTAGCCTCGTCTGTGGTTTCTATAAATTATTTACATAAATGCCTTTCATTGATTGTTTCAGAAAGCAAAAATATCTCTCAATATACCTCAGAAACAAAGATGTCTCCATCAAGTTTATACTCACAGCAAGTGCTCTGTTCTTCAATACCTTTGTCAAAAAATGTGCACAGTTTTTTCAGTGCCTTCTGCACAGAAGAGAATATTGAACAAAGTATTTCATACCTTGATCAGGTAACAAATTATTTTGTAAGAAACAATAGCCTACATGGAAGCAGCCCAAATGCCCAAAAGTAGATGACTGGATTAAAAGGATGTGGTACATATATACAATGAAATATTACTCAGCAACCAAAAAAGAGAAACACATGTCTTTTGCAGCAACTTGGATGGAGCTAGAAAAGATCGTGCTTAGTGAGATAAGCCAGAAAGAGAAAGAAAAATACCAGATGGTTTCACTCATAGCAGGAGTATAATGGACCAGGCGAGAAAATAACAAGAATAATGAACAGCCATATACCAGAGACATTTTGTGGGGGTGGAGTGAGGAATGGGATCAAAAATGGGGGGATGGGGAGGGAAGTACACAGGATTATGGTGATGGCACATGGGTGACTTGGTGATGGGAAACCTGCGGGGATTACAATTGAGATGGAAAAGAAAGAAAATGTACAAAATGAAGTAAAAATAAACTGTTATAAAAAAAAAAAGAAACAGTAGCCTAATCATGTTATATAATAGAGGACATGTGAAACTTGCAAGAAAAGCACCTGTCAGGCATAAGGATGTTAGGTTGTTAGGTATTGGGGCGGGACAGATGGTATATGAGACTTACAGGGAGTAATAGGAATCATGCATGAATGTAAGGTCAGCCTGTTTGTCTGGAGCAGATTGGCCTCCCAGCTCTCCAATCCAAGTCTCACCCTCACCCTGACTGTACTGTTGAGAAACCTAAGTGCTGTTCTAAGTCTAAGGTGATTGCAGAGCAGAGGCTAAAAAAGCCCCCATTTAATTCTTTAATTCTTTTGGATACTTACTATTAAGTATGATTGGATAGTTTTCTTTCTTTGTCAGAAACATTACTACCTTTTGTTTCTGTACTAAGTTGTGTGGTAACCAAATTTTGTGAAAACATTTTCTCCGACTAGGAATTGACTACTTTTGGTTTTCCTTCATTGTATGAAGAATCCAAAGGTAAAGAGACAAAGAGAGAATTAAATATAGTTGCTGTTTTAAATTGTATGAATGAGCTACTTGTACTTCAGCGCAAGAACCTTCTAGCTCAGGAAAATGTGGAAACACAGAATCTGAAACTGGGAAGTGATATGGACCATCTGCAGAACTGCTATGCAAAACTTAAGGTAGAGATGCCTGTCTGTCTGCATATTTCACTGACAGTGTACATTGATACTTTAAAATTTTTGTTGCCTTTATTTTAGGGTTAGTTTTTTTAAGTTTGAGATTTTTCTAAAAAAAAAAAAACTAGTAAGTTAAAAGCTTTAATTTATGTATATCGGTTGTATTGCTTCCCTATGTCTATATTGAAAGAATTGATTCTATGAACTCTGTTTAGCAACTTGTCAAATATGTAGAAACTTAGATTAGAAAATATTTCAATCTGACAAAAATAAAGTTAGGATTCTTCTATTGTGGTCAGTCTTAATATTTTGATGTTTAGCTTAATAGGTTGATGTTTAAAATTTTCTTGTGAGAGGCTACGTCAGTTATTTCTAAGATAATTATTCTTGAGAATGTCTGTGCCAAAGTTACTGAAATTAAATAATGAAAGCATGTTAGATAACTTCTTTTAGAAGTCCTGGGGACTCTAGAGATAAACTTAGAATGCTTTTATAAACTTGTTTGTTTCTCTGAATAAAAGAAACATTTTTCCATTATACTTAAACTTCCATAGAGAAAAGTGTAACACTTGATCTGAGATTTAAGAAATGAATAGAATTTGCTAGTGTTTGGAAAAGACATTCTAAGGTAAAGCATGTAATAGTTTTTCAGGGACTGAAATACATGATGTGTGACCAAGAGATATAAAGGTAAGGCTGGCCTCAGGTGATAGGGGAGACCTTGTACAGAATCCGGGAGGCCCTCAGGGATTGTTAATAGGAGGAAGGTGTTTCGTAAACGTCAGCCTGGCTGGCAGTAGAGTGGCCAAATTATAGGGGAAGGTGCAGTTTGCAAACTCGTTTTTGGGATGGAGGAAAAGGGGCTGGAGTAGCCACGTGAGAGGGCAGCTTATTAGCAGGCCTTATCACTCGCCCAGGCCAGAAAGGTTTTAGAGGTGAACTAAGGACATGCCAGTGGAAATAGTGAGATATGAAGAAAACTTAGCAGGTAGAATTATATGAAAAATTGAATTTGGGCAATAAGAATCCTGAATTTAAGAGACCCTTGGGGTCTCTAATTTGTATTTACTGAGGATGGTGGTAGGAGGGAGGTATGCAGATTTGCAGGGATGATGGTGAGCGCAGGGAGAGAGTGTTGGTTCCTCACAGTGAATGTTTGACAGATCAGCTGGACCAGTGCCTTTAAGTGGAGCTATGCCAAGTGGTTGGCATGATAGGGAGTTTTCAGCAGTCCAAGAGAGGGTGCCAAAAATTCTGACAGCTGTAGTTACCCAAGTTGTAGTCACAAACTCTCAGTATCTTGTGGTCCAGTGTTACACTATGCAAGTTGTTATCTATGGTCAGTTATTATGAGATATTTAAGAGGATTTAAAAAGTGCAGCAGAACTTAGCACAGTTCCTCAGGAAATGTATGGAATAAGTTGAATGTGGGCATCTTATCCCATAATGAATTTTGTGATGCTGCCATGCGTCTCTGGGAAAAGTCTTCCGTGTTTACTACCTGCATGGGAGAACTGGTGCACCCTACAGAACTGTCCTTTTAAGTTAAAAAGCTTCCATTTTACCTGGTCACCCACTTTCAGACAGAAATCCATGTCAGTTCTTTAAAGGTGTGCTGTAGAAATATTAAAAAGAAATTTTTTAAATCTTCGATGGCAGCATTACTGAAATATTGAGTAGACTTAAGGGATTCACTTTGAACCTCTCTTCTATATACAAGAAAGTATGGTATTTAAATAAAACTTAATAAGCAAATTTTAATAATTTATAGTAACAAGTTTTACAATGATGACTTAAAGAAACATTTTATGTACATTTAGACTAGTTTTAGATAACAAATCCAAGTATGTGTAATTTGTTTTTACTGATCTTTTAAGAATTTGCTTGCCCTGAGTTAATTTTAATTAAATTAACTTTAATTTAATTAAAATTAAATTAATTTTAATTAAAACTACATATGAATGTTTTAGGAACAACTGGAAACCTCCAAGAGAGAAATGAGTGGACTCCAGGAAAGAGACAGACAATTACAGTGCAAGAATAGGAATTTACATCAATTACTGAAAAATGAGAAAGATGAGGTGAGTTCTCAGGTATTGCAGAGAAAATTTTGTAGGTAATTGTTGGAAGTTTTACATTTCTTGAGGTGTTCATAACAGACACTTTGTTTGAAATTAGGAAAGAACCATTTTTTCACCCAATGTCTGATTCAGACAGGGGATCTCTGTGTATATGTTGTATCACATTTAACCAAAAGGTCTGGCACCCTGTCACCCACCCCGGCCCCGGTGAGTCCACTTGACTTGTGTGTGACCACCAGTGTCCAGCACTATCCTGCACTCGCCTCGAGTGCACTGTCACTTGTTCCAGGCAGAGGGGGCTTTAAATGCGGAGCCTTTATTCTGTCACACCTGTATGCAATATGCCTCTTCCTGAACTATCTTAAGGTTGACATTGTTCATCCAGGCTTGATTCTGTGGTCTCAATACTGACATTTAGTATTTGGACATACATACCTAATGCACTTGTATGATTTATGTAAGAAATAACAAACAGTCGTTAAAATTAAATCTTTAATGGTAAAATTTAGGGCATTGTATTTCTTTAAGTACTTCCGGGACAGATTAGTTTACCATATTGAAGTATTTGGTAATATATTTAGTAAGTAGGTAATAAATTCCTACACTGCAAGGTTGCTCAGACATTTCCTTAAGTTATTTCACAGAAAATTTTTATTTGATCTGTGGAAATACTTGTTTAAATAACCCCTACCTTTAGTAAAGGATCAAGTTAAACATGATCCTCTCTAAAAGAAATGTTGAGGACTGTCAAGAGGCCTTGTTTGATACAAACATTGACCAGCAGTGTCTGGCATGTGGTAGGTACTCAGCCAATGTTGAACCAGGGTTCTGGCTGTTGTTTGAATTTACTCTAATTTGAAAACTATTTTTGATGAAAGAAAAATGGCTTTGTGCCATGACTAATTCGCCTGGTTGCAGATTAATCAGGAATAGTTAGTAAGTATAAGGGAATAGTTAGTAAGTATAAGGGAATCACTACAAATGATCAGAGGGATTCCGCTTGTTTCCGATGAAGCTTTAGTCACTTTTATACTTAAAGAGTTTTTCTTGGATAAAAAGTGTGGAAGGTAATTTAGAAAACTAGCCCCTCTGGAAATTCCAGAATTAAATAATAAGAACTTTTATGTGATTCATTTAATGAGATCTTAAAATGATTTCCAATAGTTATGGAGAAGGAAGAATAATCCTAGAAGTTTTAAATTATTAGATACAGAGATGAATGAATGCCACGACTTTCCTTTTAAAATATGTAAATGTTAACTGGGTTTATGAAGCCTGAAGAGACTCCTTTGAGAGAAAAGTATTTCTTTCTTTCAGGTACAAAAACTACAAAGCATCATTGCAAGTCGAGCCACCCAGTATAATCATGATATGAAGAGAAAAGAGCGTGAATATAATAAACTAAAGGAACGTCTACATCAACTTGTTATGAACAAGAAGGATAAAAAAATAGGTAAGAAGCAGCTGGCTAAGATAGAGCAAAGAGAATAAATAAGGTAATATTACACTAAAAATGAAAAGATTGAGCATAATAACTCATGAAGTGCTGTTTTCATGCTTTCCATAGCTGATGATATATATCTATATAAGCTAGAAATTGAGATAACTGGTAAGTAAAAAAAGGTTAATTTTTATTTGCTTCATTAGTTTTGTATAAGTATTATGTATATATATATATTTTTAACATGACAGGTGTAAGATTGATCTATTAAGGAAGGTTATGTCAGAGGACACCCATTTTCCATGGCAAAGAACTGATAAAATAGTTAAGTCAAGTTCAGTTTCTGAATACCAAAAGAAGTTCTATTTTAGAGTTAACTTCATAGAATTATTTACCAGGCCAAGTCATTCATGTCTCAATACTGACATTTAGTATTTGGACATACACACTTAATGCACTTGATGTGATTATTGTAAGAAGTAACAAAGAAACAGTCGTTAAAATTAAATCTTTAATGGTAAAATTTAGGGCATTGTATTTCTTTAAGTACTTCCGGGACAGATTAGTTTTACAGTTGAATTCCTTTAA